GTGTGATTGGGTGGTGATTTTTGTCGTAACGACTAATCTTAGCAACACATTTATTACTATTAGCCTAAATGTTTGCCGTTATATTGTTATCTGTATTTATATATATATATATATATATATATGTATATATATATATATATATATATATATATATATATATACAGTGGGGCAAAAAAGTATTTAGTCAGCCACCGATTGTGCAAGTTCTCCCACTTAAAATGATGACAGAGGTCAGTAATTTACATAGGTACACTTCAACTGTGAGAGACAGAATAAGCAAAAAAATCCATGAATTCACATGGCAGGATTTTTAAAGAATTTATTTGTAAATCAGGGTGGAAAATAAGTATTTGGTCACTTCAAACAAGGAAAATCTCTGGCTCTCACAGACCTGTAACGTCTTCTTTAAGAAGCTTTTCTGTCCTCCACTCGTTACCTGTATTAATGGCACCTGTTTGAACTCATTATCTGTATAAAAGACACCTGTCCACAGCCTCAAACAGTCAGACTCCAAACTCCACTATGGCCAAGACCAAAGAGCTTTCGAAGGACACCAGGAAAAGAATTGTAGACCTGCACCAGACTGGGAAGAGTGAATCTACAATAGGCAAGCAGCTTGGTGTGAAAAAATCAACTGTGGGAGCAATTATCAGAACATGGAAGACATACAAGACCACTGATAATCTCCCTCGATCTGGGGCTCCACGCAAGATCTCATCCCGTGGGGTCAAAATGATCATGAGAACGGTGAGCAAGAGTCCCAGAACCACACGGGAGGACCTGGTGAATGTCCTGCAGAGCTGGGACCACAGTAACAAAGGTCATCATCAGTAACACACTATAACGGCAGGGAATCAAATCCTGCAGTGCCAGATGTGTTCCGCTGCTGAAGCCAGTGCATGTCCAGGCTCGTCTGAAGTTTGCCAGAGAGCACATGGATGATCCAGCAGAGGATTGGGAGAATGTCTTGTGGTGAGATGAAACCAAAGTAGAACTTTTTGGTATAAACTCAACTCGTCGTGTTTGGAGGAAGAAGAATACTGAGTTGCATCCCAAGAACACCATACCTACTGTGAAGCATGGGGGTGGGAACATCATGCTTTGGGGCTGTTTTTCTGCTAAGGGGACAGGACGACGGATCCGTGTTAAGGACAGAATGAATGGGGCCATGTATCGTGAGATTCTGAGCCAAAACCTCCTTCCATCAGTGAGAGCTTTGAAGATGAAACGTGGCTGGGTCTTCCAACACGACAATGATCCCAAACACACCGCCCGGGCAACAAAGAAGTGGCTCCGTAAGAAGCATTTGAAAGTCCTGGAGTGGCCTAGCCAGTCTCCAGACCTCAACCCCATAAAAAATCTGTGGAGGGAGTTGAAAGTCCGTGTTGCTCGGCGACAGCCCCCAAACATCACTGCTCTCGAGAAGATCTGCATGGAGGAATGGGCCAAAATACCAGCTACTGTGTGTGCAAGCCTGGTAAAGACCTATAGTAATCGTTTGACCTCTGTTATTGCCAACAAAGGTTATGTTACAAAGTACTGAGTTGAATTTTCGTTATTGACCAAATACTTATTTTCCACCCTGATTTACAAATAAATTCTTTAAAAATCCTGCCGTGTGAATTCATGGATTTTTTTTCACATTCTGTCTCTCACAGTTGAAGTGTACCTATGATGTAAATTACTGACCTCTGTCATCATTTTAAGTAGGAGAACTTGCACAATCGGTGGCTGACTAAATATTTTTTTGCCCATCAATGCAAACAGCTGGTTGTGTGGATGACTCTTTTGGTCTGGATGAATTCAGACCCGGTTTAGGGAGAGATGGGATCGCTGTTGGTCGCAGAATCTCTGTCGCTCAGATGCGCCTCATCATCAGTCCTCCTCCATGCAGAGAGTCATTTATAACATATTTGTTACAACAAATCATGTCAAATCTATCAATACATTTCAAAAGTTATCTAATGTTTTCAATCTGATTGATGTAATTTTTACCCGATTCCATTCCTGAAACACGAGTTGGTTTTTTCAGAATCATAAGAAAAGTAAATGAGAAGATGAAGACTTAAGATGACGATAAAGGGGAAGATGAGGAGGATGAAAAAGACAGGATGAGATGAGATGAGCAGAAGAAAGAGGAGAAAGTTTAATCCAGGACTCGTGCACGAAGCTCCTTCATCATCTCTGCCATCGTTCTGAACCAGCTGATGATGAGGAGGATGATTCATATCCCACAAAGCCTTCCGGTTTGCAGCTCTGCTAACCATGTGTGTAATCATGTGGTCGGGACACAAATCTGTTTACATGATGCATCAACTTGTTTAAGGGCACGGAAAAAAATCATCCAACCAATAAATGTTTGTTGTTTTGTGCTGAAGATGGGTTTAAAGCTAGAATTAGTCTCCTGGAAGTGAAAAGAGGTTAATGCAACGTCCTCTGATGGGATGGAAGCAGCGTGCACACACACTCTGGCAGAGTGTGTGTTAAGCTTTAGGCTAGCTACTGAAATGAGGTCACGTTAGTGCAGAGAGCGGCTCCGTCCACAAAGAGCGGTGAGTCACTGGTGTGTTTATCTGGTTTTCACTAATCACAGGTAGCCCAGTGACACTCCGCTCACACCGGGACACCTAACAGCCGCAGCAGCTGGGAATCACACGGGATAAATCAAATCCTGGATTTACTCTGACAAAACCAACCTGAACCCTGACCTCTGACCTGACCTTTAGCAGGTAACTCCCACTCCTGGAAGTCAGCAGGTAGCCTGCAGCATCCTTGAACCAGTTCTCCTAAAACATTCCTGGTGCTCTGAGAAATCAAACTGCAGCAATTATCCTGTGACTGTTTCACCTCTCAGGGTTTCTCCTGGAGTTCCACAAGGAAACACCCTGTTGTGGAGTTCTGGGACACTCATACGGAGGCTGCTGAATCTGGGTTACCTGGGGGGGTGGGGACAAGCTGAGAGCCAGGCCAGGCTAAAACTAGAAGCAGAACTGGGTTATTCTGGAGGGTAAAAGTTGGATTTGTGTCATTATTCCTCCCATCAGCAAATACTCTGGGGCAACTGAAGGATTAAATGAAGCTGATGTTCTGATTCGACCATCGTGGAATGAATAAAGGTAGTTTTTTTTCCCCTCTGACTCTCCATGAGAATAATTCAAAGTCAAAAGGTGGTTTTAACCCATGGTGAAACCCAGAGCTGCAGACTGCATCCAAGCATCAGTGTGTTTTACTTATGTGGGTTGTACAACAGGGACAGCATCTTGTGATCCAACAGGTGAGCGTCTCCTGTTGGAGCTTCATACTGTAGCTCATGTAGACTTCACTGTAAAAACATCATTCAGCTGTTAAACCAGCATTCAGGACCCGCTGCTCTACACATTGTCCACGTTGCCTTTTCAAACACCTGGTTCCCTGCTGCCACACACACCTGACTTATGTTTATGTTTATTTTTTTGGCAGACGCTTTAATCCAAAGCGACTTACAATTTATAACCTATAGGGCGTGTTGTGATCTGTGGGGGAAACCGGAGTACCCGGAGGAAAACCACGCATGCATGGGGAGAACACGCAGCTCCACGCAGAAAGGCCGCGACCAAGCCGAGTTTCGCACCTACGACCTTTGCTCATTTAACTAACGCATGGAGGACAAGTCGAAGCTCTGATGGTAATATTTTGTGGCCTGAACTTCTTCACAGCAGCTTTAAAACAGAAAAACATAATTTTAGGATTTAAAACAGGAAATAATTAGCTGTCCTGGGACAAGAAGATATGGATCAATGTTTTTATTTTGAAGGGGTGACCAATTTTGGCTCACCTGAATGATCTCTAGGGGCGTTCCAGAAAAGTATCAACAGTCCAAGGAAAGGGGTTGTTTAAATCCCAGCAGGATGAATCTGTGTGACGAAGCTGAAGGAAACCGTTCAGATGAATCTTTACTTTAAAGTGACAGTGTGTAGTTTCCCTGGCGACAGGGGGCAGTACACACCTAAATCACTGCAGGCAAGCATTATTTTTGTGTTCAAATAAAATCTTACCAACGGATGGCCATTAGGGTCAAAAATCCCTGGGAGTGCAACCTCCAGCAAAATAACAAGAACATCAGATTCCCTTTCATCACTGGCAACGAGTGGAGAGGTAAATGTGTAAAGCAACGACGTTTATTAACGGTGAAAGTTTTGTAACCGTTTGTTACAAATCAGTAAATGTATTTTGTCCTCACAGACTTCCGTAGAAGGAAACATGGCATCCAATATGGCGTCGCCCCGAGACTTAGACCTGCTCCATGTGTTTTAGGACAGATTTTAATGGTTGCTTGTTTTTTTACTACAACATTTTGATGGATATTTCCAGAGATTAATGCTACACATTGTCACTTTAACGTTGATCAACAAACTCAAAGAAAAACTCAGAAAGCACCCGAACCTTCTCTGGTGATTTGTAAGGAACATTTTCCCTTCTGTTGAAAACTGGGAACTTTGGGTTTAACGTGTTACCATGGTGACCAACTTCAACTACAACAGACAGGACTTTAGAAGTTCCGTTTAGTCGTGTAAAGTCCAGCTTCCTGTGTCACGTTTTACCGTGTTTCTCACATCTGGTCGCTCCCCTCCTGCGTGTTTTCGTGTCTCTGTTTCAGCACACCAGATTTACATATTTACATTGCCTCCTCAGGAGGACATCAAGTGTTGCAGATGCCTGTTAATCACTCATTCATTTAAGTCCGGGCTGCATGGTGGCGCAGTTGTTAACACTGTCTCTCACTTCCTGTCTGCAGACCATCTTCCTCAACTCTTTAATGGTTTCAGACTGACGGCTTTAGTTCAAACTCAGATCTGGATTTTAATCTGAAACACAACAGAATTAAGCCACAACCTTTAACCCCTTGAGTTAGTCGTTTGGCATTTACTGATCAAATATTTTTGATAAAATGTTTAAATATAATATTAAGCAATTTTCTTTATTTTGGATGATGAAAAGTTTAGAAAAGTGGTTGTTTTTACCTGGACAGGGCGATCTCGGCCTTCTGTCGGGCGATGTCTGCCGCCTTCTGCGCCCCCTCCACGGCTCGGTCCACCTTCTCCCGGATCTTACTGGCCCGGAGAGGGATAAGGTTCTTCCTTTTCCCGCTCACCAGGATGTTCTGCTTGTACTTCCCTTCCTCCTTTGTGCCGTCAGGGAACGTGGTACAGCCATAGCCGTGGCGCTTGTTGCTAAGCCACTCCCCCTCGTACTGCAGCCCGTCGGACCGCCGGCTCATGCCAAACCCAGTCCTCTTGTCATTCTTCCACTCCCCGCAGTAGGTCTCTGTTGCCGTGGCGTCCACATCGTCGTCAGCGACAGCCAACTCGGCATCGGCGTCCCCGAGGCTGGAAAGGTCAAAGGTCATATTGGTTTCTCTGGTGTGAATGAAGTGATCAGATTGGAAGGAGAAACATTTAAACAAACATCACAGCAGCAGACAGGGCGACCAATCAGGAACCAGAAGCTTTCTCCTGTTTAACCGTTTGACCCCAAGTCGCCTCCGGGCCGCGTGCCAAACGGTTTTAAAGTCCGTTGAGTGGAACTGGTGTTTGTTGTTTCCTGGAATCTTTGTCCTCCAGATGAAGGGCAGTTCTCCTTCGAACTGCGTCATCTTATTATCTCAGGACACATCAGCCTCCACAGAGCACGTCCCAAAGTCAGAACACTCAGTACCAGAACCTGAAAAATCATCTTGTTGGGGAGGAAGAAGCTCCTCCTTACAATAAAAAACAAACAAACCCACCTGAGTTACCCCGTCACGGTCTGGCACGAGAGGATTTCTACCTGAATCAGCGAGTTAGAAGATTTGTTCTCTGAGGTTTTGGTCACCACAAACTTTTTACATTATTGAACACACCCTTGAAAACAATCAGCACAAAGCTGACCCGTTTCTGAATAAAACAACCTACAGGCAGTGTTGGGAAGGTTACTTTTAAAAAGTAACTAGTTATAGTTACTGATTACTTTGTCAAAAAAGTAACTCAGTTACTAACTGAGTTACGAGATTATAAAAGTAACTAATTACCAAGAAAAATAACTACTTAGTTACTTTTTTCATTAATGAATGCAAGAAAAATGGGTTCCCCTCTTAATTAAACTTACTTAATTTACTATAAACGACTACAATAGTGAAATATAAATGACTAATGACTGGAACATAATAAAATGTAAGTCCAAATGTTTTTTATAAACCTGAATAATTTAAATAAATAAGCACTTAACAGGAGGAACTACTAATAGGAACATTACACTAATCTAGACTATTAAAAGGTCACTGTGTGATATTTAACAAGACCCTAATCAGCTAAAATTTAAAATTGCAAACAGAAACACCTGTAAAGGTTCCCGAGCCTTTAAATGGTCTCTCAGTCTAGCTGAATTACAGAAATAAATGTAATTTGCACAGTATTTTAATTTTTCCAGCTTCACATAATTGTGTGTTTTTAGTAGCATTTCTGTTGCTGGTAATCTAGTAACGGTTAAAAAAATAAATAAAATCCTTTAAAATGACACTAGAAGAGGCACAAGCCTGATGGAGGACTTACATTTACTAACGTGGGTCAGACCCAACCACAGAAGAGCTGAGGCTGGGTGGTAAACACACACAGGTAGTTCTAATAACACCTGAGCTCCATGACGTCTGAGACTGATGCATCAGTGTTACAGCGGGACTAAAGACATGATCAGGAACAGGTTACAGCTGGATGATCTAGGATGGTAGAAGATCAGGACGTCTGAGCGGTGAACAGGTGAGCGGACCTTCGGGACGTCCCGCTGTCATGCTAAGAAGGGCGTAGACTATTCATCACGTCTTCCTCGTTCGTGATGCTCTTGGATGAAAACATCTGCCTCTTTAGCTCCTGATCAGCTGATGACAGCTTCAACACACCGCGCTGCTTAACGCACGCATTTTCTTTTGATAAAAGAAGACGGTGATTAATTAGATTGCTCGTTACTGAAAAAACATTTTTTTAGTAACACGGTTATTTTAAACGGCGTTATTCCCATCACTGCTCTGTTGGGTCTACAGCAGGCAGCGACTGAGACGGTGAGGGTCTCCGCCCACCCGGCCAATCATCATCGTGTTTGTAAGAGCGTTACCGACACCCCTCTCTCTCTCCCTGGCTGCAGCTGAAGTGTGGCGGTCAGAAAGCCTCACACTGTTGCTCAACGTTCGACAAGCACATAGTAACGCACAACCTTCCAACAGTGCAAAAATAATTAATTAGATTATTCCATTACCTAAAACAGAACGCCGTTAGTAACGCTGTTATGCTTAAACGCCGTTACTCCCAACACAGCCTACGGGAGCATAACTCTCTCACCAGCACACACAGTGAGCTGCGATGTTTATTTCTCCTCCCAACCAGATGTTCATGTTCATCTGAAGCATGTCTGTAGAAAGTTTTTACAGCAGAGCTGCTGCAGGAGGAAAAATTCCCGCTGCCGGGAGCAGTCAGGGTTCGGCAGCCCTGGTCCTTCAGGGCTCTCATCCGGCATGTTTTAAATGTCGTCCTGCTCCAACACACCTGGTTTAATGGTTAAATCACCTGTTCAGGAGGACGTTCATTTATAAAACGTTGCATAGCGTCCTTATCAAAACACTACAAAAGAAATTCTCACGCAAAAAGGTGTTCTGACCTATAAAACAGACATTCTTTTGTTATAAATTCCCCTCTTCCTGGAAATGTTCTCAGGTGTGTTTGATACACGAACACTTTCTGTTATAAACGTTCAATGCAAAACACTTCATGAAAACTCTGATCGGCGGCATTTCACGGGTCACCATGGTAACCGAGAGCGCTAATAAAATGTAATTTCTCCGAGACTGAAATCCAGGCGTTTGTGGGTGAGGTAGAGGCACAAAAAACGGTTTTATTTGGGGTCACAGCTGTGGCATCCCAAATGAACAGAAGGCTTTCCAGAGAACGACGGAGAGATCTGTGGAGCAGCCATTGTGAAGAGTGTCACTGAAGTATTCATATGCATACTCGGTAAATAATACACACCTTTTCACAATGAATGCACCAATAAGTACAACTGCTATCTAATTTGTAAATTTTGGCCTAAATTCCCCATTTTTTCATCTCACGGCTCTGCTGGGAGTTTTCCCCTCTCCAAAATGTGCCAACACCAGGGTCAATTTGTGAGACGTTGCTCTGATTTATCCATCGTTTAAAAAACACAACCTCACGTAGAAAATGGTTTACGCAATTTTCAGGGCGTTTTGTGCGTAAGCAAGCCAAATGAGGACCCTAATGACTGACAGGATCCTGCAGAGCTGCTGAACAGCTCATTAAGCCTTCGAATCAGGTGTGTTGGAGCCGGGAAACAACTAAAACATACAGGATAGATGCCCTCGAGGACCAGGGATGCCACCTCTACCCCTGGTAATCTTATCTGTGTGTATTTTTACACCTATAGAGTTTACTGTGTTTTCCGTGAGTTTTCATAAAAATGAACGTCAGACTCAACAAAAGCGAATCGGAATCAGGTGTGTCGTTACCTGATGGTAGAGTTGATGTCTGACGCAGCTGAGGACACCGTGCTCATCCCGGCCTCGCTCCTGAACGAGCTTTGTTTAGACCTCTGCGAGGCCAGGGAGCTCCTGGACTCCGACTTTCTCAGCTTGAGTCCCGACAGGATGGACCGTCGAAAGAGGCCGCCCTTCCTCTTGCCCTTCAGCAGCTCAGCCTCGCTGTGCGCCGTCAGGACGAACCCTCCTCGGGACACCGCGGGGCTGCTGCCACTGCTGCCGGTGCTGCACACAGAAACGCTGGTGGTCAGTGTCCCCGGACCCGTGGTGGGACCAGGAACCAGCGCTCCTGTCCGGTCCAGCAGAGCTGTACCGTTGCTGTGCTCGGATCCTGACCGGAGAGAGTTTATGGAGGTACGCAGAGGGGAGCGGATGACGGCCGCCATCCCATACGGGACGCTCTGACGAACTCCGTAGCCATGGCGCATCCCGCCGACCCACTGGCCCTGGAATGTTCCTAGAGTGGGAAACATGGTAAACTTTAACATCTCAGTGTGACACGTGATAAATGCGCTTAGCGCCTTTCTGAGTCAGAGGGCCCCAAAGCGCTTTACTACAGTGTACCATCCGCCCATTACCATACCATACCATACCAACTTTATTTATGAAGCACATTTAAAAACGGCATGGCAGCCGACCAAATTGCTGTACAGAATAAAAAGTAAAAACACAATATAAAACAATACACAGTCAACAATAAAATGCACAACAAGGCAGATAATTACAGTCAATAAAAAGACACATAATAAAATAATAAAAGTCAGGGATTTACAAATGCCTGGTCGTAAAAGTGAGCCTTCAGCAGCGATTTGAACCGGAGGAGGGATGGTGCCAGCCTCACCGAAAGAGGAAGTGCATTCCATAGTGTCGGAGCATCATAGACAAAAGCACGCTGCCCCCGCGTTTTGTATTTCATTAATGGAACACGAAGCAGCAGGCAATCAGCAGACCTCAACGCCCGGTTTGGCACATACCGAGTGACAAGATCCGACAGGTAATCCGGTGCCAGACCGTTCAGGGCCTTAAAAACAAAAGTCAGGATTTTAAACTTGACCCTAAAGTTTACGGGTAGCCAGTGGAGCTGCGCCAGTACAGGTGTGATATGTTCTCTCCTAGGAGTGTTTGTTAAAAACCTGGCTGCCGCGTTTTGTACGACTTGAAGCCTGTTAAGAGCGGAGGCAGGTAAACCAATTAAAATGGAATTTGCATAATCCAGTCGAGAGATGATAAAAGCATGGATTACGGATTCACACACACATTCACAACCTGGTGGTGATGAGCTACAATGTAGCCACAGCTGCCCTGGGGCACACTGCGGAGCCGCCACCGGTCTCTGTGAGCAACAATAACTAAATTCCTCCTGATGGAGACAGCTGATGGGCCCAAACCCAGAGTTTATCCCAGGATGTTGTTTACATTTACAGAACCGGTCTGAGTGCCTCACAAAACTAAAACCATTCACACGCTGAGGAATTTCAGCCCCAAATAAAACAAAACCATCTTTAAAATCAGTTTTACATCGGAAAGAGTTTGAGTCGACAATTGTAGCTTTTACTTCCAGGGAGTCATTAAATTTCTTACAAAACAAAAAGACTGAAGGGAAACTTTTTTCATCAAGCCGCCAGTTTTAAGGAAAGCAAATCCACTGGTTGATCTGATGAAGGCTTTTATTTTGAAAAAGCTTTAAGACTAAACTGAACTTGTTTTAAGTTAAGGAGACTGAAGTCATTAGAAGATGTCAGCAGCCCTCTTGGCTGTGCTCAGACTAGCTGCTGGCTCGGGGCCTAGTACCTGTCGATGATGTCACATTACATGATTGGCTGGATGTCGGCATTAAATGTGCTCGGGTTGTGTTTTTCATGAGGTGTCGTTTTCTCCATAGGAAACATGGACGACTTTTACAAAGAAACACATCATGACCTTTGGTCCAATTACTAATCTCAGACTGTATCAAAAACAAATAAAATCATCTATTCAGTCAAATTCGTTTAATCACAGGGGAACATTTTGTTTTGGGTAATTCTTGGGACACTATTTTAGAAAGAAATAGAAACAACATAAGAACAAATGAAGTAAACAGAAGATTTCTACGTTTATACAAACATCCAGGTTAGTTGATTATAAAAAACATGCAGAAAACTTTTAGTGGTTAGCTGGTTAGAAAATGTGGAGCAATGCAGTTTTCCAAATGGCGTTGCCGTAGTGTGATGTCATTAGCAGGCGCAGGCCCCCGAGCTAATCTGGTACCGGAGAAACACCATTTCTCTGAACAGAGGCTGTTCAGGGAGCTTTCTACAAAGAAAAATAATAATTATTTATAATTTTACAGTTTGACTTATTTAGTTAAGTGTCGAAATTGGCTGGTTTCCTGGTGTCACACCTTTTCATTCACAACATTTCTCTGCTGCTAAAAGACATCCACAGCTTCATGTTGCTGAAAGGTAGGACAGCTGATTCCGTGTGTGTGTGTGTGTGTGTGTGTGTGTGTGTGTTTCCGTACTTCCTCTCTGTCTCTCAAGCGGAAGTGTGTGTTCCAATCGGAGAGCCAGTGCTCCAGCTCGCTTGCCCGTACCGCTGATGTAACAACGCTCTGATTCATTCTGGAGCAAACGCACGCACAGCAAACCAACCACATGACCATATAAGGACAGCAGCGTTCTCCGGCTCTACCGAAAACACGCACAAACTTTTCCCTGTGGGCTCAAGAGTCATTTAAGCGGGAAGAGCTGAATGAATGAAGACACACACACACACGCACACACACACACAGAATCTTTGTGAAAGGCAGATGGACAGCACATCTGGTCAGGCTTTTGTGATCTTGTCAGCTCACAGCTGTAAGGCCGTATGAGAGACAGATCAAAGGGCGTGCACACAAAAACAAACACCCGTGCAACAGCTTGATGGGATTTTATTAAGCGGTCGTCATAATTCTGGAGCAAGGCTCAGAGACAGAAGGCAGCAGAAGAAGACAAACGGGCGAGGGCGTCGCCTGAGATAAATGCCGACTCGGTCAAAAGGAACTTCTCTGCTGCAAGTCAGAGCTGAGGTTTGATCTGCCTGGAAACTAAATGATCAAAAGGTAGCAAAACAAAACCAGAGGAAAATAAATATGAAAACCACCAGATCAGCTGGAATCAGTTTAAATATTAAATAATAAATCAGCATTATAAAATGTGGCATAATCAAAGTTTTTCATCCCTAAACTGCACATCCAGTAAAGAAAACAAGCAGAAAAGGTCTGAAAGTGTTGAGTCAATGACGCCACAAAGTGAAGAAGCCAAAGACTCATTTAAACTGAAGCTTAGTTCTTGAATGACTGAATAAATGACCCCAACATAGACTTTTGTATTTGCTCCAGATGCATTTGTTATTTGATTTAGCTAAAATAAAAATTCCCAAATTGTCATTTTATAACTACAAACACACCCTAACCTGCAACCATGGACAACTGTTCCTGTTTCTAATGGAAGAAAGATTAAAGGGGCCATATCAACACGTTTTAGTGCTTTTTACCATGTGACATAACCATTTCCTGCATTTTTCCTGCATCCAGGACAAAGTAGCCCGTTTCTCCTCCCCCCTGAACCTGGAGCTCTCGGTTCTGAAACCTGGATATTCTGACAAATTACTTCAGCATTGGGGACAAAACACCGCTGTACAAACCATGCGTCCTGTCTACAAAAATGCATGTAATGGCCAGCACAGGATATGTGTGTTACGCGACTGTTGATCTGTTACAGACTTGGTAGTCCAGTGGTTGGATTACTGGGCTGGCGCACAGGTTCCCCGTCTGAGCAGTAATTTTCTCTTTTTTAGCTGCACTTGCCAGTATTATCTCTTCTACCCTTTATTGGTAAAATGTTTCAAATATAAGAACTAATGTGGTTTTTATGGTTATTTAGCCAGTATGAGTCCATGTGAGGTGAGCGGAGTAAATCGACTAAATGCTGCTTGGAAATGGCCAAACTCAAAGATCTTTAGAGACACAAAATATTTTGCAGAAAATAATCAACAAAACTAAAATATAAAAAAATAAAATCTGCCAAAGCTGGCTAAATAAATTACAAATGAAATGGGGATTCGAACCGGCATCAACTCATGAAAAGCAGGCACTTCTACCGCTGGACCACCAAGGTCAATAGAACAGCAGACTTGCCCAAGACGCTGTTATAGACGCGTTTTTTCAGAGCAGGCGTGTGCGGAGCTTTGCTAAAATGCTCCGTTTTAGTTCCAGGTATAAGTTCAGGCTAACAAAAATAACTTGTATTTAAGATAAATGAGATCTCAATAGTGCCAATGGTAATATTTGATCATATACTGTGTTTAGCTTTGCTCTCAAAGGTTTAAAATAGCATTATATGGCTCCTTTAAATCTTTTTTTTTTTTTTTTTTTTTTAATTTATCTCAAACCATCGAAAACATGAAATTGCATATGCACTCCCCCATATTCCTGGTGCATACAAAAAAATTTTTTTTTTAAAATGAGGAATACGATAAACATATGCTGTTGAATGAAACAATACAAAACATACAATAACATAAAACCATTTGAGAGGGAACTGGAAGAAGCAAAAGCTTATCTAGTCCAGCCCCAAATATCTGATCCAAATGACAATAACCCTCAAAGAAAGAAAGAAAACTATCTCTAAAATAGTGCCTCTAAAGATAAAAATCATGAGGCACTTCACAAAAATGTAATATAAAAAATACCATCCATCCATTTTCATCCGCTTATCCAGAGTCGGGTCGTGGGGGCAGTAGCCTAAGGCGAGAGGCCCAGACTTCCCTCTCCCCAGCCACTTGGGCCAGCTCCTCCGGGGGAATCCCATGGTGTTCCCCGGCCAGGTGAGAGACATGGTCCCACCTGTCCTCCACCGTGTCCTCAGTCTACCTTTAGGTCTCCTCCCGGTAGGATGTGCCCGGAAAACCTCACCAGGGAGGCATCCAGGAGGCATCCTGACCAGATGCCCGAGCCACCTCAACTGGCTCCTCTCGATGTGGAGGAGCAGCGGGTCTACTCCAAGCCCATCCCGAATGACTGAGCTTCTCACCCTATCTCTAAGGGAGAGCCCAGCCACTCTTCGGAGAAAACTCATTTCGGCCGCTTGTATCCGCGATCTCGTTATTTCGGTCACTACCCAAAGCTCATGACCATAGGTGAGGGTAGGAACGTAGATCGACCGGTAAATCGAGAGCTTCACCTTCTGACTCAGCTCTCTTCACCACAACAGACCGGTACAACGCCCGCATCACTGCAGATGCAGCACCAATCCGCCTATCGATCTCACGCTCCAGTTGTCCCACACTCGTGAACAAGACCCTGAGATACTTAAACTCCTCCACTTGGGGCAGGACCTCATCCCTGACCCGAAGAAGGCATTCTACCCTTTTCCGAATCAAGACCATGGTCTCAGATTTAGAGGAGCTGATTCTCATCCAAGCTGCTTCACACTC